TATATAGAAAGACAGTAATAAAAAACAGCTAAGAGTTGTAAACATACTAGAAGCAATATAATTTATTAAAATCCCAAATATTTCAAACACTCCTGTGTTCTTCCTCAGTATTTGTGATTTAATAAATTATATTGCTTCTAGTATGTTTACAACTCTTAGCTGTTTTTTGTTACTGTCTTTCTATATTTAATTTATTGAAGAGGTGAACAAAATTTTCTCAACCGAGATTCTACCCCGAGACCCACTGGTGTATATGTAACACTGGGGCTTTGTTGGGAATTCGAATCAAATTGGAAACAATTAATTTTTCACTCTTTTATACATGCATAGTGCTACAGCAATTGTTTTTGATGTAATGCAATGGCAAGTGAGTACAAGCTATTTTTGTGACTTCTTTATTTAGAAAAAATACAAAGAACAACCATAATTTAATTACTGAAGAAGTTCTTACCAAGTATTGTGACTGCAAATGAACATAGTCGTTGATTTCCAAAGGAATCGGACGCAGTATAATTGACATACGTTATTCCAATACTAAACTGCGATCCTGAGTCATGTGTTCTGACAACTAGTGGTTCACCTGCATTATCCATAAATACGGGCTCCGTCCAATTTATTATACTGTATGAAAGGCCTACCCTAGTCGACTCCTCTATACTTGATGGGCAACCAGTCACCATAGGTGCCTCATCATCTAAAGCGAATTCAAAGAAATTATATTTAAAAAAAAACTTTTTTAGTGTAATTGATTATTAAAGTCTATTGTATATTAAGAATATGCTACAAAATATGAACTTTTCTCCAAACCTCTGACTGTAACAGTAAAGGAGCACCTGGCAATGTTTCCAGATGGATCAGTAAATGTATACAGCACAGTGTTCAGGCCTGGCATGAACACTGCACCAGAAACAGGGAATGCTTCCGTTATTAGAATGCCAGAATTGTCAACAGCGGTTGGTGTCTCGAACATTGGGTTAGCTGTGTTTGTTCCATTATCTGGTAATGTATCAAAATCATCTGGACAGTATGTTACATTTGGAAATTCCGTATCTGTAAGATTAAATGTTATTCGATGTTAGCTATGGCTCGTAATGATCATTCATTCATTTCTAAAATTAAGGTTTTAGAATATGTATTAAATGTGGAATACACATTTGTCCAAGCCAATTGTGACATCAACAGGCAATAGTTCATGGAAAAAAATACATATATAATAATTGCTTATTTTGAACACACCTTCTATTAGTATGGTGAAGAAACAGTATCCAATATTTCCACCTGCGTCAACTGCCGTAAAATTGACGTTGTATTGTCCGATTTGTAAATAATTGCCGGACGTCAGAACTGGTGTCATGATTACTGTCATAACATTGCCGGAGTTATCCATAGCAGTAGGGGTGCTCCAAAACACATTGGTACCATCAACCCCAGGATCTGTGCTAAGGGTCTGACTGCTCGGACAATTTGAAAATGTTGGTGCAGTAGCATCTACATATAGAAAAAATAGATATTATGATGGACATATGAT